CCTGTGCAGTGTGCCTTCTAGGAACTGTGGAAGAAGAGGAGGATCAGAGAAGCCAGGATTTGTATGAGGTGCGATTACAGCCTTACATTATGTATGGCTCTAATTGCACCGCACCAAAAACTCGCAGGACCCTTTTTTTGGTCCGCACTAGAATCAGATCACATGGGTATTCACACCTATGCAATCCGATTCTACACATTGCACTGCGTTTTGCGGACCGATGTCGGGGTGTTGTTAACCTAACATACACACCCGCATCGGTTCGTATGAACAGGGTGCAATTGTGATGCAGTGTGGAATTCGCACTGAAAACGCTGCAAATTCCGCACCGCATCAGTGTGAACCAGGGCTTAAACAGTAGAAACAAATTGACCTGCGCTATAGCACACAGCTGTGAACGCTCTGTGCAAAGTTCTACATTGCCCAAACATAGGGCACGTCTCTTTTTTTGTGCATTGAGGTTCTTTGAGAGCTGATTCAAAATGAGTCAGCTGCCTTAAAGGGGATCTGGAATTTCTGGCTTAAGGTAACACAAAACAGTGCAAGAACAGCTAATAGGGTGTTCAAAAATCCCCATTTTGCAAGGTCTCACCCTTCACAATAGCTGACATGGATTCATGACAAACCCATTCCTGGCATTTGGAAGCACAGGACTTGTTCCAATTTAAAGCAGCACCCCAAAATGAATGCTTTAATGCATACAAAGGTGTGACGGGACACTATGATTTGTCTGCATTGTTACAGAGTGAGGAACTTGTACCATGAATATTTTTTAAGAGAAAATAATTAACCGCTTCCCATCCGCCCTATAGCAGAAATACTGCTACAGAGTGGCACGGGTGTTCAAACTCATGTGTGTATATACAGGATTTTGGATTTCAAGGTAGGGGGCGCGCACGCACCCTGCCCGCGCCACCATTTGCAGCCCCGGCTGTCAATCACCGGGTCCCCACTGCAGTGCTTACAGTGTGCTTACAGTGAAGCACACACACAGCCCCCATAGTAAAACAGCACACAGTTAACCCTTTGATTGCCTCAGATGTTAGTCCCTTCCTGCCCAGTGCCATTAGTACAGTGTCAGTGCTTTTTATTAGCACTGATCACTGTATTGGTGTCACTGGGGATGTCATTGACACCAAGTCAGTTCCCCCCAGTGTCAGAATGCCTGCTGCAGTTCCGCAGTCCTGCTATAAATCGCGGATTGCCGCCATTACTAAAAAAAAACAAAAATTCCAGTATATATACCACCATTTGTAAACGCTATAACGTTCACGTAAATAAATTGATTTACACGTATAGGGATTGTTTTTGAGCAAAGACATGTAGCAGAATACATTTTGGCTTAAATTTATGACAAAATTAGATTTTTTAAATGTTTTTAATGGACATGTTTAATAGCAAAAAGTCAAAAATATAGGTTTTTTTTTCTCAAAATTGGCAGTCTTTTTTTATTTATAGCACAAGAAATAAAAAACGCACAGGCGATCAAATACCAAAAGCTCAATTTGTGGGAAAAAAAGGACATAATTTAATTTGGGTGCAGCGCTGCCAGTTAAAGTAACGCAGCGCCGTATCGCAAAAAATGGCCTGGTAAGGAAGGGGGGTAAATCCTCTGGAGGGCAAGTGGTTAAAGGTATCTATCAACAACTCAGCTGTCAAATTTGTTTTAGACCTAGTTGTAGCAAACGTGCACCCAGAGATGGATGCGAACCAACATTTTGGCAAAGGCCTCCATCTTCTATCATTTTCTACTCCCAAATCAGCTTCCCTCATCCCCCCTCCCTCTCTGTTGAGTGACATGTGGTCTGTATGATGCAGAGGTCACAGGCATCAAGGCCCAGCGGGAGAGCTCATGGCTATAAACCCCAATTAGCCTGGCCCCAGATGTCTGCAAGACTCTGCTTGTAAAAGGATTGTAAAACCATAAACCAAGTCCTTCACTGAGTTCAAAAGACATTCCAGCTAGCTGTGAAACAGACTTACATTTAAAAACCCAGTTTTCCAAATAGGAAATAATTACACAAACATGGAGCACATATTCGGATGGCTCACTTTAATACAAATCGCCTGATATATTACACCCCCTAGCTGACAGCTCCAGGAAAGCAGAAAATGATATCTCCTTAACCGTCACAACAGGTATGTCATATTTCATACCTAGACGTTAAGCAGATGCGTCTGCATATTAATATTAGTGGCAAGGCTGCTAAACACACCAAGGGTAAGTTATGGGCCATGATATAAGCTAGGAGGTATTTTTGTTCTAGCTGGGGTCTCCACCTACACCTCCTTCCCCAAATGAGGCGATTGGTTCTCTGCTTCAAGGAGACACCCTGCTGAGTTGCTAGAAAAGCTGTTATACTTGGAGCAGAGAGCTAAGCTAAGCTGAGTCGAGCTAAGTTGAAGATTCTCCCTTGTAACATCAGAACCAACTCTGGGAGACGGCCCTTTTGCTCTGAAACTTGAAAGCTGCTTAACCCAAGGCTTTTGGCAAGTACTTTATCTATCTAAGTTCCTTTCTGTTATCTCTTTGCTGTGCTATTGGTCTTTGTATATTTATATATATATATTGGCTACATCTTTTTCTGTAAATATTTTTATTGCACCCTTTTGACCTTTTAGTAATAAATCTTACTTTCTGAAAGTGTTGAACTGTTTCTAAAGCTCTTTAATGCAAACTAAGAACCCCTGTCTCTGAAGAGCGCTACTGTGTGTTTAAACCTCTGTATAAACTGCCTGCGGTGACAGTGGTATACAGAAGATTATTCAACCATCATAGCGTAATTGCGGATATTGCCGAGTTTCCTCTTTCTCTGTACAAAAAGGAGGTGGTGGCAGTGTGAAGGGTTAATTGCGTAATTAACCTGACCCAGTAACAATCGCTCCCGGCTGCATGTACACAGTGGTCCATTAGCTGGAAAATCTTTGTGCAGGGTGCAGCTGGGCGTGGCATTGTTACGCATGTGACAGTGCAGTTTTAGATTGGCTAGTCCTTCTGTCACGAGTTTGGTAAGAAGGGCTGGGATCTGACGCCGCAATCGTCACACTACTCTTCTGATAATTAGACTGTGCTTTGTGCTGTGCTCTTGTGCTTCAAAGTATTGAATAGTCACAATCAGGGGCGGACTGACCATTTTGAAACTCGGGCACTGCCCGAGGGCCCAGGGTCAGTAGTGAGATGCCCCTGGTACCTTTTTCATAGGCTTTTATGAGTTTGGGCAAGGACACAGGGGCCCCATGATCCCCTATTGCCCAGGGGCCCCATGAGTTGTCAGTCCGCCCCTGGTCACAATGTTTGATTGCAGCATTTGCCTGTATTCAACACATATATAATGGCATCGTACTTGGTTCAATTAATTTGAACATCTAAAGCTCTGATGTGTCCGATTTCACCATAAACGTATAAGGTAAATCTATTACATGTATATAACGTTCTCAGATTGCCTGGAATGAACTGAAATTCAGTTCATCACAAAGTAAAACTTTATGGTCAGCAACTGTGACTCGCTTCATAAGCTGTAGTGTTTACACAGTGTCCTTCAAAAGCCATTAACATTTTATTTGCTTTGTCACTAGCAGCACCATATCCCGGATTTAATTTTAAATGGCAGCCTCTGCCTCGCTAGGTACACATTCATCATTTTCATAATGACATCCAGATGGATTTACTACTCCTGTTTAGCAAGGATCACATTTCTTAAATGAGCAGGTGTTAAAGCAGGTGAAACCTGGAAACCACTAATGGTTTGTCCTTATTCTTAAAGCATCGCTCTAGCCCATAATTTTTGTTGTTTTGGATAAAATGAAATATTGTGTTAGGTCTTTAATTCTATTTGTGACCCCCTTCCCCTCCCATTGAGTAATTGTTCCTTTACTTCCTGCCTCAGTTAAACCCTTATGAAAAATGAGGAATGCAGTTGTCACTGGAACACCATTGCATGGACAGCAATAAAAACACTTCCAGAAGTCCTAAGGCCCCTTTCACACAGGCGTTCCGTTTTTTTCATCAGTTCAGTCACGTTTTTTCCAAGAAAAAACAAATCCATTCACATCAATTTTTCATTGCGTGAGTATAGAAGGCACAGTAGCTAAATGGTTAGCACTTCTGCCTAGCAGTACTAGGGTCATTGGTTCAAATCCCAATCTCAGCACAATCTTCTTCCTGGAGTTTGCATGTTCTCCCTGTGCCTGTGTGGGTTTCCTCTGGGTACTCAAAATGCAACACTTTTCTGAGCATGTGCAGGACAAGATAAGTCCAGGTGAGCTCATTCATCAGGCAGGCACTTATCTCATCCTGCACATGCTCAGAAACGTGTTGCATTTTGATGACGTCAGACGCCACATGTGCTGATCCCGGACATCTTGGAGACTCTGCCAGGCTCCACCATCCGTGCTGCATATGCATGGCACCATCTGCTGGCAGACACCTTGGAGATTCCACCAGGCTTACCATGCATGTTGCACATGCACAGCACCACCTGCTGGTGGACTCAATCGATCTCCTCTCTGGATCAGACACACAATATCATCTGGCTACAGACATCTCACCCTCTTACCCATGAGCCTGTTTTTAAATTCTAAGCTGTGAGTTACTACTTATCGTTTTATTAAATACCTTCACAGTACACACTTAGAGGCACTGTGTTTCTTTGTTTTCCCTTCTGCAGAGTTATGCTTCGCTCCTACGCAGCTTGCCCTTAGTGCCTGCTGGACTACCTTCACCCCTGCCCATTTGGAACTCATCGAACATACATGGACTGCTACACCATGCGCCTGTTATCCCTTTTGTCCTGTACAGTATTTATGCCTTTAAAGTGCACTTTATAAAGAGTTTTGAACAGATAAGACTTTTTTTTACTTTTTTCTGACCTCTGAAACGGATTAAGTGGTTTTCAATGCATTTACGAATTCATTTTTAATTATATCCCTGTAAAGTATTTTTACCTTATAAAGTGCACTTTATAAAGTGTTTTGAACAGATAAAAGACTTTTTTTTTTACCCTCAGAATGCATTAAATTCGTAAACCGAGGTACGCCTGTATTAAGAACCCACTGCAGAGTGGTACAACCAGGGGCGGACTGACAACTCATGGGGCCCCCGGGCAATAGGGGATCATGGGGCCCCTGTGTCCTTGCCCAAACTCAAAAAAGCCTATGAAAAGGTACCAGGGGCATCTCATGAGGCCCCCTACTGACCCCGGGCCCTCGGGCAGTGCCCGAGTTTCCAAATGGTCAGTCCGCCCCTGGGTACAACACAAGTTTTAAAATGCATAACAACACACGCACTATGGTATGAACAAGCCATAAAGGAAATGCACCCTGAGAGCACCAAAGGGGCCAGCATGAATGATTGTATTATTCTGAAAATGCCAGTTGCCTGGCTTCAGGGTATTCTCAGTCTTAATCACTGACCCAGAACAGGCCTGCATTTCAAGAGTCCTGACTTAATTTACTGCATGCTTGTCCCAAGTCTCTGGCCCAGAAAGTACCTAAAGAAAACAGATTACCATTGGAGATATAAAATACTCTGAATATTCAGTATGACTGTACAATATTTCCACTGTCTGACCTTATACATAATACACTGTGCTGAGAAACACTGTGCAGGCAATTTGAGGCAGCACATTTCAAAGTTTAGGTTGCATGAGCTTACATGTGAGGCTCAGACAAAGTAGGAAAAGGCACATGAGGGGGAAAATATCTGGGAGATGACACACTGTACCATATGATACGCTTTCAAGCTAAAATAATGTCAGATTAGGCAGTAATGCATACCAGTCTGCTGAATCACCAGAAAAGACAAAAACCATTCACCCTAAACTGATTTTAAAACGATATACATTTGCTAGTGAGGTTTATATAAGTTTTTTTAAATATTCATAAAGAATCAAAATGTTTATTGTAAATAGAGTCATAATTACTGAATGCTCCCTCTAGTGGCCAATCTACTAATTTATTTATTATAGGTATTTATATAATGCCGTTAATTTACACAGCATTTTACACATATATATATTGTACATTCATATCAATATTTAATACAATAGCTAAAAGCCAAGAAGAGGTAATCTGCAAACAATGTGCAAGTCTAAAATGACTTTAGATCCAGTTCACACCAGGAATCGCACAGGAACATGCTGAGAATTCCTGTGCAATTCACATGTGGTGCAGTGCAGTGCGATTTGCGTTCATTCATTTTGAAAGGGGACGGCACCAAAAATAGTGCACCACATTAACCATTGCCTACTAGGCACTTTTACACCCTTCCTGCCCAGGCCAATTTTCAGCTTTCAGTGCTGTCGCACTTTGAATGACAATTACGCATTTTTTCCCTGCTCATCTTTTTTGACTGTTTTTCACTAGTTTTGCATTTGACTAGGGTCAGTGTCACTACTGGTAGCATGAGGAGATACCTGGACCCTACAGAGGTTGCACAGTCAGTCCAACTCCTCCAGGATGGCACATCAATACATGCCATTGCCAGAAGCTTTGCTGTGTCTCCCAGCCCAATCTCAAGAGCATGGAGGAGATTCCAGGAGACAGGCTGTTACTCTAGAAGAGTTGGACAGGGCCGTAGAAGTTCCTTAGCCCATCAGCAGGATCGGTATCTGTTCCTTTGTGCAAGGAGGAACAGGATGAGTACTGCCAGAGCCCTACAAAATGATGATCTCCAGCAGGCCACTGGTGTGAATGTCTCTGAGGAAACAATCAGAAACAGACTTCATGAGGGTGGCCTGAGGGCCCGACGTCCTCTAGTGGGCCCTGTGATCACTGCCATGGAGCTTGATTGGCATTTGCCATTGAACACCAGAATTGGCAGGTCCCCACTGGTGCTCTGTGCTTTTTACAGATGAGAGCAGATTCACCCTGAGCAGATGTGAAAGGGACTGGAGAAGCCGTGGAGAATGTTATGCTGCCTGTTCAGCATGACGTTTTGGTGGTGGGTCAGTGATGGTCTGGGGAGGCATAGCCATGGAAGAACAGGCTAGACAATGGCACACTGACTGCCATTAGGTATCAGGATGAAATCCTTGAACCCATTTCCAGACCCTATGCTGGTGCAGTAGGTCCTGGGTTCCTCCTGGTGCACAACAATACCCAGCCTCAAATAGCGAGAGTATGTAGGCAGTTCCTGGAGGATGAAGGCATTGATGCCATTAAATGGACTACCACGCTTGCCTGACCTAAATCCAATAGAACACCTCTGGGATATCATGTTTCTGTCCATCCGACACCACCAGGTTGTACCTCAGACTGTCCAGGAGCTCAGTGATGCCCTGGTCCAGATCTGGGAGGAAATACCCCAGGACACCATCCGTTGTCTCATTAGGAGCACGCCCCGATGTTGTCAGGCATGCATACAAGCACGTGGGGGGCCATGCAAACTACTGAGTACCATTTTGAGTTGTTGGAATGAAATTTCAGCAAAATGGACTAGCCTGCTGCATCATTTTTTCACTTTGATTTTCAGGGTGTCTTTGAATTCTGTCCTCTGTAGGTTGATAAGTTTCATTTCCATCAAACAATGGGGCATCCTTTACGTTCCTAACACATTACGCAGTCCATACCAGTATAGACATCCAGCATGATATTTTTCCCCATTGAGATCTGACATTTTTAAAGTGTTCCTTTAATTGTTTTGAACAATGTACTATACCTATCCCAATGACTGGTGAAATTTGTCTTCTAGGGCTGGTGGACCCACTAGCTCACACCAGGCTGTTAAAACATTGCTCAGTCTTTTGCTTTTCTATGCTCGCAAAGCTATAGCCTTAAAATAGAAGTCGGCGGAGGCCCCAACCCTTAACTTTTGGAAATCCCTAGTTAATGCTGCCATCCTTTTTTTTTACAAAACTATACACCTTTCCCAGGGTTGCTTTGGGAAATTTAATAAGGTTTGGGACCTCTGGATTGACTCTTCTGCCACTGCTGCAATGTGAGTATTGTCTACTATATAAAAAGGATCTTTGCCTGTACAGTATGCAGGGTAATTATGCTAATTTATTGCTAACATTATATGGTGTTACCTTGTCCCTTTCCTTTGCACATGGAGCTTGGGAGTTGGTACCCCACATAGCTATCCCAGATGCTTCACTCCTTCTTTCCATGCCGAGCAATGCTATGGTTTGGTTCTTAAGGTTTTTACCTGTGTATTGTTATCATGTGTGTTGTTTAATGTGAGTGCCGAGTCAGGGAATGCCCAACAGCTCTGTTTTGCATTCTAATACAAGTTACACCGAATAAAAAGAATTAAAAAAACTAAAATTAAAAAACACACTGCAACCAGATCGCATGGTACTTCTGTACAAGGCAAACGCACTGCAGTTGCAACCTGTGTTTTAGGGTGCCATTAACTTAACATGGACACCCATTGCAGATCGCAACTGAATGCGGTGCAGGAAACACGCAAGGAACATGGGTTTCCCACACCGCATTCTGGTGTGAATGGGCACTTAAGGTAAACATTTTTATACTAATTTGAAATATGCACTCACTAAGAATTCACTATGTTGTTTAAGGCAAAAATGTATTTATTTATTTCAGGTACTTATATAGTGCTGTCAATTTACGCAGTGCTTTACATATATACTATACATTCACATCAGTCCCTAACCTTCAAGGGGCGTACAATCTAAGGTCCCTAACATTCATACATACACATACTAGGGCCAATTTTTAGGCAGGATCCAATTAGCCTACCAGCATGTCTTTGGAGAGTGGGAGGAAACTAGAGGAAACCCATGCACGCACAGGGAGAACATGCAATCTTCAAGCAGGTGGTGCCATTGTTGGGATTTGAGCCAACAACCCTAGTACTGCCAGGTGGAAGTGCTAACCATTTAGCCACTGTGCTGCCATCAATATAGCCAGTTAACATGTATTTTCAGAAGCAGGTCAACAGTGGAGACCCAAGTGTTTCTCCTATGTCAAGGATCATTTAAGGTCAAAATCAAAATGACATATCTGATCCAGTCTATCGTTAGCATTGACACAGTGGCTTTTTTTCTGAGTTCCATGTATAACACAGTAGATTTTTTTACCTGTTGATCCTGTCAGTAGACCTGTTATTTTTCTACTTCCTGTAATAGGGTGACAACCTGTTCTGTAGTGAATTTGCACAGAAGCATTGTTACCCTTTCATAGCAGGAGAGCATTCAACATTTAGTTTTAAATAGACTTTAGGTTAGAGACAAAAAATGTGGTCACTAACTCCAGTTAACCCTTACTAAACCCAAAAACTAACATTTAATTCATTGGAACATGCTGGTGTTTTGATATGGTTGCTACCTTTATTTTTATTTTTCAGGCTAAGAATATTTTCAGGATGTACAGGAAAATAAAAGCTGATCTTGCCAGAAATGCAATGTCCTTGTCACTTCCTGAGCATGACAGAAAGCACAAAAAGTATCTTTATTTTGTAAACTACTAGTCCCAACAATCTACCACATAATGGAAATAAACAAATGCAAACCAAAAAATGTTATACTCACCTTTCCATGATTTTCTTTTCCTGTGGTATCTTCATAGTAGCATACAGTGAGTTATAGATTTGCCCCCTCAACCCCACAGGACTGGCTGGCTCTAAATTTGAGATGTTCTGCAGGGTTTTGGATTTTTTTGATTAGCCAGGAGGCTTGTGTATGGGATGATGTTTGATTCACTCTTTTTCAAAGGTTTGCTTGCCCATTTGCTGTTAGGAAAGTCTGTGGCTGTGTATACTTGGACCATTATGCGCCATAAAATAATCCCTTTTAAAGGTATGCTGGAAGAAATTCCAAAACCTAAGTTGGATTGAGGGGCATGGGCTCTGTGACGGTGTACGGCATCAGACCCCAGCCCTTCTAACCAACTCGTGACCGAAAGGACCAGCCAATCTTGCACCGCGCTGTCACTTGCGTAACAATGCCACTCTCAGTTGCGCCCTGCACAAAGATTTTCCAGCTCGCGGGACCACCATCTATGTGCCAGCAGCCTGAGAGCGATTGTTACTGGGTCAGGTTAATTACGCAATTAACCCTTCACACTGCCACCACCACTTTTACAGAGAAGGTGGAAACTCACAAATCGTAGCAGTGACACTATAATATTAGTATAAGCGTCTGTAATACACACTGTCACCTCAGACAGATGTATTCAGAGGATTATCACATACAGTAGCACTCTTCAGAGACAGGGATTCTTTAGTTTGCATTAAAAGCTTTAGAGACAGTTCAACACTTTTTTGAAAATAGGATTTATTACTAAA